TTATTTTTTTTTAAAGAGTGAAGATAATTCATTATTCAGTATGTCCTTCTGGTGTGTCTGTAGAGAAAAAAGCCTTTCAGTACTCACAGGTATTTTTCAGTGGCTCCAAATTGCCTTGAGAATTCTAAAATCACAGGATGATAGAATGGCTTTGGTTGGAAGGGACTTGAAGATGATCTAGTCCCAACCCCTTTGCCATGGACAAGGACACCTCCCACTAAACCAGGTTGCTCAAAGCCCTGTCCAACCTGGCCTTGGACACTTCCAGGGATGGGGCAGCCACAGCTTTTCTGGGCAACCTGTGCCAGACCCTCACCAATTTCACAGGGAAGAACTTCTTCCCAATATCTAATGTAAATCTCTCATCTTTTAGTTTAAAACATCATCTTTTTATTTTAAATAAGGGCTGATGTCCTGTCCTTTGTCTCAAAGGGAGATACTGAAGAGTTACACTGCAGGTCCCATATATGAGAAAAAAGGAAAATGTAACAGGAGAAGGGGGTTGACTTCACACTGACATAATGCAGGCTTAGATTGTATATTGGGAAAAAAAATCCATTTACATGACTACCCCATCCCTGGAAGTGTTCAAGGACAGGTTGAATGGGGCTTGGAGCAAACTGGTCTAGGGGAAGGTGTCCCTGGCTGTGACAGTGGTATTGGAATTGGATGATCTTCAAGGTCATTTCCAGTCCAAACCCTCCCATGAAATGTTAAAACTCATGAGAGGCAAAATTAAGACTGACTCTTTGCAGCAGAGCAACCCAGTGGCTGGCAGAAGGTGGCCAGGATGGTCTCTCTGCCCTTTTAATGTAAAATCATATAAACACCATGGTCAAGTGCAAATGGGCCTGATACTTTGCAAAATTACATCAATTAAACTCTACTGAGGATGTTAATCAGTGGTTGGTGTTGGGCTTTAAGGCTTTTATTGCCAGGCAAAAGTTCCCAGCCTGAAGGGGTTTGTGTGCCTCCATCCTGGCATAGCTGATGCCTTCTTACCTGCAGTTTGGTGTTGGGGTTACCGTGCCCCTTCTGGGTTCTTTCTTCAGGCTCCCTCTCCCTTGTCATCAAGATGCCTTTATTTCCTGGATTTTCAGTGGCTATTAGGCTGTCACCGTGACACATTGTAGGAAGGGGGTGATGTGAATTTTACTGTTTCCAAATGATTTCCAAATGGACAAGTAAATACAATGAAATTCAGAAATAACTTAAACATGTTGGTCCACAGCTCTCTGAGACAAGTGGAAGGGGATTGGGCATCACAATGTCTGGGAAAGGATTTTTGGAAGCAGTTAGGGTGAGTCAGGGGAGACAGTAAGATGTCTGCCATTGCAGCATCCTGAGCTCTGGTGCTGGTGGGAATGGCTCCTTGGGGCCTGGGGGAGCTGGGTGTGGAGTTTGCTCCTGCAGTGACAGCGAGCGAGCAGTTTTCCAGCTGAGGGAGCAGCTCCCTGTGCCTGCGCAGAGGACACGGCACACATGGCGGCACAGATGGAGCTGTGGTGTGGATTTCTGCTGCAGGCAGTGTCCTTCCAGCTGGAGCAGGTGATGGTGTGACCAGCGGTGGCTGTGGGTCTGAGTCAGGCTACTTTATCTCTGTTGTGAGTGCAAACACCTCTGTAAGCGGAGTTGCAAAGGGAGCTGATCTGTGCAGATAGCAATCTGCTATCCCCTGTGTGTCTGAGCACATCCTGCCTCACCAGGATGGAAAGCTTTGTGGCTGCACAGGGATATTTCTTCTCTCAGCATTCTGTTGTCTGAGAGTGCTCTTCAGGCAGCAGAACTGGCAGCACACTCTTGGCATTCACTTGCAGAGATGTGGTGCTGGCAGAAGGAGAAAGCATAAGGATATTTCACAAATTCTTCACAGGCTGCCTGGGGCAGTGGTGGAATCCCCATCCCTGGAGGGATGTAATAGATGTGTGGATGCAGCACTTGGGGACATAGGTTAGTGGTAAGTTTGGCCATGCTGGGAGAATGGTTGGATTCGATGGTCTCAGAGGGGCTTTTCCAATGCAGGTGATTCCATAATTCTATGCCATACCCTCTGGGGAGCCAAGGCTGCTCTTGTGCAACTCTCCACATGAGTTTACTGGGTCCCTGGATAATGCTGGAGCTGCAGCGTGACCAGTGTTAGCCATATGCAGGGCTCTGTAGATCCAAACCCCCATAAGGTTGTAGGTGAATCATCCCTGCCCTCCATCACGCTGCTGGGTGGTTCTTCAGGTATTAAACCACATAGGAAAAGGAAATAAAAATTTGATCTGGAGTGGATTCTGTGTGAAAATTTGTTCTTCAAGTATCAGACTTCTTTGGACCAAGGTCCTGTTGTTGACTGCCAGATAGTTCATTACTATTGAACTTTAAATTGTAACCCTGGTAAAGACAGCATAAAGCTTCTGTTGGTGCTATGATAATTTACACTGGTCACAGCCTCCTGAATCACAGTTGGGAGCTACAAATGGAGGCTGCCAATTATAATTCTAGTATTTCAGCTATTAGGTTTCTGTCCAAGTGTGAGATGAACAGTTCAGAGCATCCAGAACCACAGCACTAGCACTGGCTACTCCTTCTGTCAAAAAAAGGGTGGTCAAATTGTCCACCCAGACCCATTCCCTGTGTATCATACCACCACTCCAGTCAGAAGAGTTCACCAATGTGCTTCTGTGTAGGGCTTGGCTGAAGCCATCTGCCTGTTGGCTTTCAAGGCCCAGTCTCTGTCAAATAAGGCAAGTTGTTCAACTGGAGAGGAATACAGGCTTTTTATTCACATGATGTTTATCTGCCTGGTTTGTCCAGTCAGTGGGGTGAACTGTGTTCAGCTGTGTTCCAGATACCAGCCGAAGTTCAGGCATTGCTACTTGGAAATAACTTTAGGATTATCATACCATATATCATAGCACTGGAGGGTTTGACTGGGAGGGAGCTTCAAGACTATCTAGTTCCAACCCTTCTGCCATGAGCCTTCCACTAGGCCAGGGTGCCAGAAGCCCTGTCCAGCCTGGTATTGGACACTCCCAGGGATAAGACAGCCACAGCTTCATGGGGCAGCCTGTGCCAGGGTCTCACCACGGTCACATCCAAGAATTTTTTCCTGAAATCCCATCTAACCCTGCCCTCTGTCAATGGGAAGCCACTCCCTCTTGATCTGTCACTCCAGGCCCTTGTCCAAAGTCCTCTCCAGGTCTTTTGGAGCCCCTTTAGGCACTGGCAGAGGCTCCAAGTTCTCCCTGGAGCCTTCTCTTATTCAGGTTAAACTCACCAGGTGTCTCTGTATATGAATGTATTTGTTCCTTGGGATAAGTTTCTGGTGAAACTACTGTGGAGGTTTCCAGTGAGGTGGAGGAAGGTTGGCAAGACACCCTGGCTATATCTGTGAGTGTCCCCTGGATCAGCATTCCTGCTTTCCTTTTTTTTTTCCAACTGCAGGAAGAGGAATATGGTTCATTTACCTCCTTTTCACTCATTCCATCCCAGCACTCTTAACCAGTGAGAGCACTGCCACGAGAGCAGCCCAAGGATGAGGAATTTGGAAAGGCTGTCTGAGTTCTGATGTGTACCTCTCTAGGTCCTTAAAGAGGTGATCTGACTTGTTCAGTGCATGCAAGCACTCACACCTGACCTTGACTTCCTTGCCTGGGATTCTGGGCAGAATTTTAAGACTTCAAGTGTGGTGCTTGCCCAGGTGGAACATGGCTGCTGTGTTCACTTGTGTCTCTCCCAGTGGGGAGTTTAATGACAGCTCTTCCCTGTTATACCTGTGTGGAGGATGCACTCTGCAGGGACAGCCTCACCCAGAAATGAAGATGGAAAAGCCTTAATATGTGAAAAGTGAGAGGGATAAACCAAGGGGCAGAGAACTGCTGACTCTTGTGTGGTCCACCCTGCTTTCTAAAGCCTGACCCATGACTTCCCTGTCTTGGTACTGGCAGCACCTTTCTCCTGCAAGGAAAATGGGTTTGTAATCATGGATTTGGTTGTGTAGAGGAACCTTTTACACAGGCAGAAAGTGGCAGGACAAGGGGAAATGGCTTCAAACTGACAGAGGGGAGATGTAGATTAGGAATGGCAAAGAAGTTCTTCCTTGAGAGGGTGGTGAGGCCCTGGCACAGATTGCCCAGAGGAACTGTGGCTGCCCCATCCCTGGAAGTGTCCAAGGCCAGGCTGGACAGGTCTTTGAGCAACCTGGTCTAATGGAAGGTGTCCATGCCTATGGCAGAAGTGATGGAACAAGATGGCCTTCAAGGTGCCTCCTAGCACAAACCCTTCTTTAAATCATTCTATGATTCTATGTCTTGAACATGCAGGGTTTAGACTTTGTCTCATTTAACTTGAGCACTGTAAAATTTGTGTCTCAATTCTGAACTTCCTTTCTTCCTTGTGGTGTGCAGAGAGAACTGTCATTTCATACTGTCTGGGTTCAGCACGTGTTTTAGGTTGAGCTAAAGTACCTGCTGCAAAACCTGTCCCTTGCCATTATCTTGCAAAAGCTGAGAAAATGTTGGAGACATGAGGATAGTTTGGTTCCTAATATGTTTGGGGGTTGTCTTATTTGTTCTTATGCTGTACAAGAAAACTGTGAAGTGTCTGCAGGTGGCATGGGCTTTAGAGTTCCACTGAGCTGCTTCTGAAGCCTAATGGGTGCTTTGCAGCCAAAGGATTCAAATGTCATTGGAATGTGGCTTTATCAGTTTTGCTACTGATTGGTTCTTCGGAAATTAGACTGAACAGAATAAATAAACAAATGTACAAACAATACAGAAAGCAAGATGTTGGCATTGCACTCTTTGAAAGGAGTGGGATTGCCATCACCTGAATGTTTGTTTAATTTGGGTCACCTTTGAGAACTGTATTGAATCAACTTCATGTTGGGTCTTCTGGGCTGTGCTGGAGCAGGTGCCTGCACAGTAAAACATTCTGCTTTCCCTCATTAGCTCCAGAATGCCTGAGGTGCTCTCTTCATATCTGTTTCCTGACCATATCTCTCCCATTTCCAGGTTGTTGGAAGAAGGCACAGATGTGAATGCAAGGCACAAGCTTGGCTGGACGGCTCTCATGGTGGCAGCCATCAGCAGGCACTCCAGGTATGTGCATCTCACATCATGATTACTCACTTCAACCTTTTCCTAAACTCACTCCTAAACTGAGCTCTGTAGAGGGTCCTCATAAAGTTTGGGATGTGTTGTGAAGCTTAACCCAAGGGAGCTTGTCACTCTCTTTATGCCCAGTGTGTGGTGTGACAGATCAGGGCAGGCTGCTCCCCCATCCCACAGATGTGACAGCTGAACTGGTGGTGCCATTCCACACCAGCTCTCAGGTTTTGGCCATAGATGAGCCCATACCTGTGGGATGTTGTTGCAGTGGGTACCCACCCCACCAGCCAAAATCACTCCTGTCCCATATCTTCTCACTGGTGATGGTGTCACTGGGGCTGAATGCTGTGCCCTTGCTCCACAGTTCCCATGATGATCACTCTGGCTTCTTGTAACCTTTTAAAGACACTCCTAAATATATTCAGTCTACAACTAAATTCAATTAGGTTTTTTTATTTAAGGAAAAAAAGAGAAAAAGAAATCCAATTTTGGAAAATGTGGGACAGACGGGAGAATGAGCTTTGATGTTACAACCTCTCAGGGATGCTTTACTTAGTCACAAGTTCATAAGCAAAAAAGCTTAATTACTTGGGAAAACACAGGATTAAAGCAGTGCACAAAGGCTGAATATCCGCTCTCGGGTGACACTATCCCAATCCATGTGCTGAGTTCGTGTGTGGTGCAAACTTTGATGTGTGCTATGACAAGCTGAAAGTCGTGACCTCCTCAGGGAGCTCCTTAAAACAGGCCCAGAGGTGGGGGCTTGTGAATGTTTGTTTAACTTTGATGTCCAAGCAGCAACGGGCTCTGTTATTTGCCTGTCCATGAAGGGATGGGCTTGGGAGCCTCCCACCTTTCCCAGTGGACAATGGTCAGCAGCAGAGTGTGACGACTGTTGACCATTCCAAGTGACTGGTGAAGCAGAACAGGACTTCCCGAATTGCAAAGGCTAAGGGGAGACAGGGAGAAAGGCTGTTCATGGGACAATAATTACCTAAAATCAGGCCTAAAATCAAGTGGAAATGCTAATGAAAACATCTTGACAGTAAAAAATGTGTGGAGTCCAGGCTGGTCCCTTCTGAGAGGGCAGAGTCATCACCACATCTGTCTTTGTTGTGTACCTGGCCAAAAGAAAAAGGGTTTGGCTGTGTTGGGCAAATTCTGTTTATTTTTCCCACATTTTAGATGAATACTGACTTAAAGTGAAAATTAAGAAGACCTTGAATACCTGAAGCTCAGTATAACTTTTCTCCAGATAGCAGAAGAGTAATTAAATACTATTGGACTTGCTGATCTTAAAGGTCTTTTCCCACCTTTGTGATTCTGATTCTGTCCTTTCTGGAGGCAAACATAAATGCAAGCTTATTCCGTATGTAACAGCTCTGGCATTGTGCCAGACAAGGTTTTGGCCCTCAGTCCTGTTTCTAGACTTGTAATGTCCACAGTGCAGGGTGGGAAATGCATTGAGCTGGAGCATGATCCACAGAGAGTTTGAAATTCCTTACAAGTGGTTTGCTAATGGACCTAGTCCACAGGGTGAACTGTGTAACTGAAGCTGGATATTGTAGCCAGGGTGTAATGGGGAAGGGAGGAGTCAGAGGCACAAGGATGCAGGATGGTTTTGTTTATAGAGTGTGGTTCCTCTGTAAAAGGTTATGCTCTAAATCTGCTTTCTTCAGCCACAGCAACTGATCTCAGAATCAGAATCACGGGTTGGAAGGGACCTTGAAGATCATCCACTTCCACCCTTCTGCTGTGAGCAGAAGTACCTTCCATTAGACTAGGTTGCTCCAAGCCCAGTCCAACCTGGTCTTGAATGCTTTCAGGGATGGGGCTGCCACAGCTTCTCTGGGCAACCTGTGCCCGAGTCTCACCACTCTCTCAAGGTAGAATTGCTTCCCTATATTCAATCTAGCCCTGTCCTCTGGCAGTGTGAAGCCATCCTCCCATGTCCAATTGCCTGTGTAATCCACCTGATGTGATGGATTTGAAGTTTTTATGACTTTTGGTCCTTCACCCCTCAGGCCAGTGCCTCTGGAGAGGTGAGCTGGGCTGTCCCTGTCTCAGAGATGGCTGAGGTGCAGCTAGCTGAACAGGACCTACAGGTACTGCTTGCCTGCAAAAAGATAAAGGTCATCCTAATGTTTAACTTATTGACTCTCTCACCACTTCCTATTTTATGGCTAATGATACCTCCACAGGTTCCTCAGCATAGTTTTGAAGGGCTGGGATGCTGGGAACTGAGATGAGTGTTTTCAGCTAATAAAAAGGAAGCCTTCATCCTCAACGCCTTTCTAAAGGTGTTTTTCAGAGAGGAACGATGTTTTCAGTCTCCACTGTGCGCTGGAGATTTCTGTGACCTGTCCTTTAGCTTTGTCATGTTTCCCAATTTCCACAGCCCTCACTCTTCCAATTAGACAGCCCCAGTCCATCTGTTTAATTTAATTCCAGAGGCACTGCTTTAATGATTTCTGTCAGTTGCCATCAGCTACAAGATGAAATCCAGTCTGCTGGAAGGCAAGTTTGGGGTCCATCTTTTCTTTTTACAGCAGAACAATGATCATCTTCTTCCTCTTGGAAATGTCTTGTGTCCAAAATGTGGGGAGGCATTAAGAAGCATTCTGCAATATTGCCATGGATAGGTCTCCAGGAGGAGACTGGTGTCTGCCTGGGGGCGGAGATATAGTAGTGGATCTAGTGGAGACAGATTTTTAGGGTTTCTTTTTTGCATGAGACAGAGTCAGTGTCCAAATTATTTGGCTCCATGATGATACATGTTGTAACTGGGTCGTGGGCTAAAGACACATCAGCGGTGATGTTTACAGCAGCAAAGGAAGGTTTTATGCTGTAATTCCCGTTGCTGTGGGAATTGCCATAGCATTGTCATATTTTTAGTATTTAAGCTTTAATTAAATGCATACTCAGAGCTTTGTGGGGTTTGTGCATTTGTTAAAATAAGCAATAAAGCCATCATAAATGAAACCCCAAAGCAGGTAGGACTTTAGCTGTATGTCTGTAGAATAGTGACCTTTTCTATATCTCATTATCAGCTACTCCTCCCGTTTTTATCATTTCCACAGAAATAAAGTGACAGTGAAATATCAAGTCATCTTCTCAGCCTCCTCTGCCTCCTCTGAGGCAGAGAACTACTTGTGTGGTAGGGGAGACTAAGGCACAGAGCAGCATGGAAAGTCTGAGTCCCAGTGGAATAAGTTTGAGTAGCTCTAAAAAACACTGGAACCTGCTTCTGCTCCCATTCAACCGCATTGGCACAGCCCCTGGGCAGCAGTTCTGAAGGCTGGAGCATGAGCACAAGTCTGATGAGGAGTGGCTGAGGGAGCTGGGGGTCTCAGCCTGGAGAAAAGGAGGCTCAGGAGCGACCTTCTCACTCTGTAAAACTCCCTGAGAGGTGGGTGGAGCCAGGTGGGGGTCACTTTCTTCTTCCAGGTAACAAGGGACAGGGGAAAAAAGAAAACAGCCTCAAATTCTGTCATGGGAGCTTGAGGTTGGCTATTAAGGAAAATTCCAAGCCTGAAAATATTGTCAAGCCCTGGAAGAGACTGCCCAGTGCAGTGGTGGGGTTACCATCCCTGGAGGATTTAAAAGTCCTATGGAAGTGGCACCTGGGGACAAAGTTTAGTGGTGGCCTTGGTAGTGCTGGAGGAACAGTTGCACTCAATGATCTCAAAGGGATTTTCCAACCTAAATGATAGTGTGATTCTATGATTTTAGGGCTTCCAAAGTTTTCTGCATGGCTCAGGTGGTGGGGAGGAGCACCTGGGTGCACTCACAGGCATTCCTTTCTCAGAATGCTGTTCAAGTGCAGTTGAAGCTTGTGCAAGGCTCCATAAAGGCTTTTACAGTAGCAGCAGCAGCAATGCCCATGTTTTAATTGGACAGAAGTGCTCCAGCCCTCAGAACATCATTTTGTTCCCCTCTAGACTCACTCCAGCAGCTTCACATCCTTCTGATTTTGGGTGGTCCAGAGATGGAGGCAGCACTGCATGTGGGGTCTCACCTGAGAGGAGCAGAGGGTCAGAATTGCCCCCTCCTCTGCTGTCCATGCTGTGGGATCAGCCCAGGGCATGGGTTTCTGACAGTGCACTGTCAGGACATGCTGAGCTCTGCCTTCCTGTTTCACTGGGGGCTTTAGCCTCCAAAATTCCCCTTGACTCTTTGCCACATCATCTACTCATCTTCATTTTCTTTTTGCAGCTTTTACTTCCTGCACACCCTTTCTTCTTCTGCCTTCCTCTTCAGGTCTGCATCTCTTTGCATTTCTTCACCTTTGCTTCTCAACATCTTTTTTTCTGGGAATGACCAATGCCAAGTGACTCCTCCCTGAGTATTGGCTCTTCTTTTCCTTCTCTGCCTTTCTGTGGAGATCAAAGGAGCTGTGGGTCAAAGGTTCTTCCATGGAACCAGAACCAGCAGGGCTTGGGCCAGGGTGGCCTTGTCCCATCCCTCACCTTCCTCCAGCCCTCCTTAGGGAGAGGAGTCAGGAAGGAGTTTGTTCCTTGCCTCCATATACATTGCTGGGAGCTGTGCCTCATCCACATGTGCATTGAAGATGCTGTGTGGCTGTTTTATATTGGTAATGACAATTCCTCATGCACTGTGATATTCTAGTGGGTTTGTTCTGAGATTGGTGAAGGGTGACTGATCTGGAGCTGTTCCCTGTCTACAGGCAGTGACATGATGAACTGGTGCAGTCTTGTTGTCTATATTAGGTACATACATCTGTTCCATGGGGGTTTCTTCACTCCTTTCACTTCAGGCAAGTCATTCAGAGCTGTCTGCAGTGGAGCTGGAGAAATATCTGAGTACCTTTGGAAGAAGATAGGGCCCAATGTGTCACCTGTCAGAGAGCTGAGGAGTTGGGTGTGGGTTTCAGCTGGGGTGACAGAACATTTGGAGGGTCTGATCCTACAAACTGGGACATTGACTTTCAGCCACTGCCTTTCTGGGTGTTTTTGATGAACAGTGACCAC